TGGTGGAAATCCTATTCCTTTAGTTCACTAACACTATGAGGAAGTATCACTATGTACCCCTCCCCCACACTTGGGTGGGGGCCATAGCAGAAAGGCTGTGAGCACAGGCTTTCACAGGCAGAGGCTTGTCCTAACTCTACCATTTACCCACTGTCCAACCTGGGCAAGTCATTGCCCACTTGGCCTGCCAGTTTCCCAGCTGATGAACTGGAGAAAAGAATTATCGACCATCAGGGTACTTGTAAGGATTAAATAAGGGGACGTAGATCAGCTGCTTTCCACAGAACTTAGCACACAACAGCACTCAATGAATGACAGCAATTGTTCCATTATGACTGCTTCTTTTGGCCGCTGGAGACAAACACAGGTGAGAAGACAGCACACTCCTCAAGGCGATGTGAGATGTGACAGGCACTCAGATGAGATGTGTTGTTGGTGATGGGAGGAGACTGGAGGTGAGGGCTGCTGTGGACAGGGAGTGGTGGACAGGTGAGATGTCACACTTGAGCTGGGCCATGAAGAATGAATAGAAATTAAGTGAGAGAGAAGGAAGGCAGTGGAGCCAGGAACACACCTAGCTGGGACAGCGTGTTTATGGGTTGCCATGCAGGCCGGCTGGGCAGCAGGGCATGTCTCTTGGAGTAAGGAAATGGTGGCAATGGGGAAAGGGGAGTCTGGGCCTGAGGGCCTTTGATTTGTGGACTTAGGTCTCCTGTTATTCCACGAGTCCCTGTTCTGACAGCTTCCCTTCCTCTAAGAAGAATACAGCATCCCCCGGGGGATTATGGCCATGTGTCAAACAGCTGGGTGTGGAGAGTTCCTCGCCAAATGGGCTCCTGGTCAAAAAGCATTCTGCTTCCACCAGGGAGTGGGTGTTTACTTCAGCGGGAGCACCTGCTTTTGGGGAATCATTTGAGGGTGTCGATCTGCCCTTCCTGCCTCTTCTTCCCATGCAAGATGTCACCAGCATGGGAAGAGGACCATGTGTGACCCTATCCGATGCACCTGTGGAACGCCCTCTGGAGGCGATGTGCCCAGCAGCGTCCCCAAAGCTTCCTCGCCCTTGAGTTTAAAGCCAGCGTGCCCACAATGCTGCTCCCTGGTCTGTGTCCCTGCCAGAGATGATTAATGGCCTAGCCGCACTGGTGTGTTGTATTTAGGTCTATCCCCAAGCAGATAGATTTTTCTTTTCAGATAAAGTGGAGGCAGGCCCTTCCTGGACTGCAGGTCCTTGCCCGCCCCTCCTGGCTGGCAGTCTATGTTAGGGAATTCGGAAAGGTAAATGAGTTGATAAGACAGTGTGGGAGGGGGATGACTGCACTTTCAGTGGCCCTTGTAAACAATGTAAAGTCACCTTGATGTGCCGGGACTAATGATGCTGGAGCGAGCCAAATGGAGCGCGGTGGCACTGAGCCAGCAGGTGCACACATCCCCACCGCCAGAGAGGAGCAGTCAAGGGCCCACCTCCCTCTGCCTGTGTCTTTTCTGTGGTGACACACAGCTCTGTCTCCTTCCAGGTGCAAGACCTCCTGAGCTTTCAGTTGCTTCCTCTGTAAAAGGGGATCTTCTGGGTTGAATGGTGTCTCCCCAAAATGATGTTGAACTACTGACTCCCAGTACCTGTGAAGGTGACCTTATTGGGAAATAAGGTCTTTGCAGATGATCAAGTTAAGACGAAGTCATTAGGGTGGACCCTCATCCAATGACTAGTGTCCTTATCAAAAGGGGAAGTTTGAACACCGAGACAGACACACACACAGGGGTAGTGTACTATGAAGCTGAAGGCACAGATTGAGGTGATGGTGCATCTACAAGACAAGGAACCCCAAAGACTATGCCAGCAAACCACCAGAAGCTAAGAGTGAGGCCTGGACAGATTCTCCCTCAGAGTCCTCAGAAGAAACCAACCCTGCTGACACCCTAGTCCCAGACTTCCAGCCTCCAGAACTGGGAGCCAATACATTTCTGTTGTTTTAGGTCACCCAGTTTTGGCTACTTTCTTCTGCAGCCCTTGCAGACTAATACAAGGGAGTAATAATTCTTCCTGTGGGTATGTGCTGAGGATGTGACAAGAAAACCCAGGTGAAGCAGCTAGTACATAACAGGTATTCACAAATGGTCACTGACTTCATAGGCTGGAAGGCTCACCCCCAGACTGAGGGGATAAGAACTGGGCTGGACGTAGACCAAGTGCCTGGCAGACCACACAAAACAAAAAGTACTGCAAAAAAATCAGTCTCCTTGTTTCTATAGAATAGATACATGGGGTTAAGAGTTTAGGAAGGGACCACTTATTATTGTGTGATGTTGTTTACATGAAGTACACAGAATAGGCAAATCCATAGAGGCAGAAAGCAGATTTGTGGTTGCCGGAAGCTAGGGTCCCCAGAGTGCATATGTTAAAGAGAAATAAGGGCCCCGCATGGTGGCTCATACCTATAATCCCAGCACTTTGGGAGGCTGAGGCAGGTGGATCACGAGGTCAGGAGTTCGAGCCGGGCGTGGTGGCGGGCACCTGTAATTCCTGCCAGTTGGGAGGCTGAGGCAGGAGAATTGCTTGAACCCGGGAGGTGGAGGTTGTGTTGAGCCAAGATCATGCCATTGCACTCCAGCCTGGGTGACAGGGTGAGACTCTGTCTCATGAAAGAAAGAGAGAAAGAAAGAAAGAAAGAAAGAGAGAGAGAGAGAGAGAAAGAAAGAAGGAAGGAAGGAAGGAAGGAAGGAAGGAAGGAAAGAAAGAAAGAAAGAAAGAAAGTAAGTAAGAAAGAAAGAAGGAAGAAAGGAAGGAAGGAAAGAAAGAAAGAAAGAAAGAAGAAAAGAAAGAAAGAAAGAAAAAAAAAGAAAGAAAGAAAGAAAGAAAAATGCCTTTTGTTTAAACCAGCAAGTCTGAGGTCTTTTGCTATGGCAGCCCTAGCAGACTAATGGGGAAACAGAAAGTACCTGCTTCATGTGTACAGGGATCTCTTTGGTGGTGATGGAATGTTCTGGAACTGTACAGTGGTGATAGATAGCTGTGCAACATTGTAAGTGTGCTTAATGCCACTCAGCTGCATACTTTAAAATGGTGAATTTTCTCATATGCAGAATCTAAGAAAGCTGACCTCTTAGAAGTAAAATAGTGGTTACCAGAGGCTGGGGAGGGGAGTGGGAGAGGTGGACGGGGAGAGACTGGTTAGTGATACAGTGTCTCAGTTAAATAGGAGAAAGAAGTTCTGGTGTGCCATTGCACAGAAAGATGATTATAGCTGACAACATTGGATGGTGTATTTCAAAATAGCTAGAAGAAAGGATCTTGAATGTTCTCACCACAAAGAAACAACAAATGTTCAAGATGATGGGAATGCTAAATGCTCTGATTTGATCATTACACATTGTATGTATGTACAGTTATTATGTGTCCATTGCACATTTTTCCAGGGGGCTTTCATATATATACTATGTTATGCAAGCATTCTGGCTATCTGATTCCCTAACATTTCCAGAACAATTCAGAGCCTTTCTAACAGTCATCAGCATGAGAATCTCTCTAGAGCCCTGTCACTGCAGGGTTACCTGTATTTCCAGCAACTAAACTTGCAGAGAACCCTGTGTGTGGCCAGGCCTGATTAGAGGGGAGTACTTGGTGGCTGACCACTGGTGTCACTGGCCTGGTGCCCAGAAGGGCAGTGGTTCTCAGATGAAAGTGTGAGTGAAAATAATAGCAGTTTGACTATATCTGCTTAAAGTCTCAGTCCCAGTTCTGGACCTTCCTAGGGATGCTCTTATGATACAGACATTTCTAGAGAGTGTCTTACTTAGTCCAAAGGAGTGACTCAAAGGATAGTATTTTAAGTATCAGTCATTCATTCAATCAATCCATACTCAGGAGGTCTTACTATGGATCAGGTATCATGGGGATGTGATGGTGAATAAGACAAACACGTAGTCTTTACCTTCTTGGAGCTCATATTCCAATGGCAGGCTACTGGTGGAAATATTGGAGGTCCTACACATTAAGTAGGATTTTGACTTCAACAGCTTAGATATCACCCCATCTTCACAGATTCTGATAACCTGGAGAGTAAGGGGTTAGATCTAACATGAAGAGGAAGTTCAATTTCATTTCTTTTAAAAATTGGGGATCAGGAATTTTCAAGGATTGCGAAGTACCTGTCCCTTACCCACACCAGCAAGGGGCTCATCCTATGACCCCTCTTAAAGGGGAACCTCCTCGGAAATTCTGCCTCAATTAGCATGCACAAGAAATCCAGAAAATCAAGGCAGATGAGCCTGTGTAGTTGAAGCACATGGGTCTCCCGATGGCAGACGGGAAGCCCTCTGGGGTAATGCATGCTCACCTGGTTAGCTGTTGGGCAACCCAAACTTGTGCCATTTCATCATGATTCTTCCATCTTCCAGAAACTGAGCCCCTTGGCTCAGCTTGGCTCAGCTTTCGGAGCTAGACTGGCCTGCCCCAGAGAGGCTGCCCCAACTTTGTAGAAACTAGGGCAGGCAGTGCTTCTTAGAGACCCTGCAGTACCCCAAAGAGTGGGGCTTGTTCTCCAAAAAGGAACCCTTTTCAGATGACTTGATCTCCTAGGAAATCTTTAGGGAAAAAGGAGAGACTGACACCCCCAAGGCCTTTCAACTTCAGGTCATTCTTTTCTTGGGAATGCCATCTCCTGGCCTCTTCAAAGGCCTGGCCTCACCAGGCACCTGCACTTCCTCACTCACCCTCCAGGAGCCTTCTGCATGGCCCCCAAGAAGCCTGCCTGGCCCCTGAGCTGGGAAAGCTCAGTTCCCTCCCTGCCTCCTAATTTGGCAGGAGGAATGGAAACTTTCGTGGAAAGCACTTGAGCTGACGAATGCTCCCAAGTCAGGACTTTGACTAGGGCCCTGGCAGGCTCAGGATCCAGAGGAGGGGGGCTCTCTCCTTCTCCAGGTCAGGACCTCCTGCCCTGGCTCCTCCCCTCACTTTCTGCCGACCATCAGTCACCAGCTCTCCTGTGACCCCAAGTGACTGCTGCACACCACTAGAGGAGTCATTGTCTTCCACATCCCCCCCCATTTGCACTTGCCTTCCCCCAGTTCCTCCTCCCCTTCATGGTATATTTTTCTTCCACACTTTCCTGCGTCCATCAGTGGCTGTGGAGTCTGCATGGGGCTCAGTGGAGTTGAAAGTCTAGAGCCTTTTGCTGTTTTGTTTAAGACCTGGTTATGGTTGTGAGATTTTTTTTTTTTTTTTTTGTCAGCTGCCTGTTATATCAATCACAGAGTCGGGATCTATTTATAGGTTGGGAGTACTGTGTCCTTAGTCACAAAGAGACACAGACAGGGGACTGTCAGCTGGTACCGGAGGAGCGGAGCAACGAGTTATCAGCAACTGAAAGCACCTGAGGGGCCGCGCATTCCACCCCAGCCCCGTCCTCCACGCCAGCCCCAAGCATGTGAGTAACCCAACTTCTCCCTTTCTCTTCCCCAGACTCTGTGGGTCCCTTTCTGTCCCCTTTCTTACACTCTCCCTTTCTCTCTCTCTCTCTCTCTCTCTCTCTCTCTTTTAATGGATAAAAATATCTCCCCACCCCTGTTCTTTCATCCTGGTTTTCCGCACTCTGAAGCATCCCTGTGTGGCCGAGAGGAAAATGTTGCCTTTCTTAGACTGTCACGGGAAGGTCACAGGGTCTCCGAATGGCTGGGTGGGACGGTGACACAAACTCACTTGGAGGCAGTGAGTTCCCTTTGATTTTTGTTTGTTTTCACTGAGAAAGAAGTTAGTACACCAGAAGGGCAAGGGAAAGTTTACATGTGGCTCAGCAGGGTGGAGATGTCGCCCAGCATGAAAACTTTTATTTGCTGGCAGCTTCCGTGGAGGGCAAGCTGGGGAAGGTTACCCAGAAAGACCCAGTGTCCACAGGACAGGTAATCATGGGGGTTCCTGGAAGACTTGGTTTCAGCCTGGGAGCTTCCAGGTTCAGGGAGAGTCCCCACAGTCCCGATGACCAGTTTTCTACAGCACCTTAAAGATAATGACTTTCGCCTCCCCTCTGTGGAGCGAGTTTGCTTTGGGAAGTCAAGATGAGAGCTGAGGATTTGTCCTGCCCTACGGGGCTGTCGCTGGCTCCCTCATTTGGTGTGTTTTCTTAATCCTGAAAGGGAACTTGGCTGGGGGCTGGGAGGAAGAGTCCCAGGCCAAAGCCAGGTGTGGAGGGAGGGCTGTTGACTGCTTTGCTCTGCATCCTTCGCGAAGGAAGAAACTTAATATCGCGAGGCTTGTCAAAGCTGTGCTTGTTTCAGACAATTTGAATGGTGAGCAGGCTCCGAGTGCACCTTGGTGACTCTAGATTCGGCCTCTCCAGCTGCAGTCCCGATATCCACAGGGTTTACCTGCCACAAGCTTCCCATGCAACATTTGAGACTTTAGTTTCTGGGTATTGAATAGTATTCACCTGAAATCCTGTATTTGAGATTTGCTTTATAGTATCTACAAAGGAAAAGTATCCCTTTTTTGGGAAAAAAAAATGTAATGATGACTAACGTATCCTTAAGTACAACTTTTTAAATGTATCTCTCTCTCTCTTTTTTACCATGAGTTTCTATTTATACCATGGATTCCATATGCTATATTGCTAAGGACTACTTGATTTGTTTGGGAGAACAATATCCTACAAAGAAACAATCTTTCCAACAATTTAAAAGCATTACACAAAGCAGCTATGTCTATATTGTTTTTAATTTATTACAAACAAAATAGATTTACCAGCAAATCTAACTTGATGAAAGTTAGATAATATGGATATACACATATGTTTAGAGAGGCAATTTGATCTCATTTTTATTTTGACTTTCTGAAACCTTAATTTTCCTTTTTCTTGTTCCATGTTTTCACCTGCATCTTGTTTAGGGCTATTCATATCTCTAATCCATTCATTCATTATTTTGGAAAGGGGCGTGGGGATCAGGAAGCAATGAGAAATTAGAAGGCAATGTCCCAGGTTCAGCCAGTAAGACCACATTCAATAGTGGAGAAATTCAGAACAAGGAGTTTGCTGTAGAAGTGGGTAAATGTCATGATTTAAGACCTAATATAGGAAGTGAGGTCTAAGAACTCCAGAATGGGAAAGACACTAACTAGGAGTTACAGTGTATTATACACATAGCATTATTGTTCTTCCTATTACAAGGGACTCTATTTTGGTAAATATATCCTGCTAAGGGTTTCCCCACAACGCTGAAGTGGGATTTGGTGGGTTATTGTTAATTAAAGCCCAAGTGAATGAAGTGATTGAGACATTGCATTCAGAAATCAGAGAAGTCCGCTCGTGGCAAAGCTGAACTTCTAGGACTTTCAGATCTCAGTAGCTTTTGAGAGAAAGTGTGGCTTTAAAAAAAGCCTTTTAGACCAAGAGCAAATTCTCCCGTTCCTCCCCAACCTGCACACTGGAGCCTGCCTGACCCATACTCACGGGTAAGTGCAGTGGGAGAGAGTCCCACATTCCTGAGCAAGTCCTGTGTTCTCATAGCCTTCTCGTTCAGAGGGAAGAGTATTTGTTGGGACATTTAGCTAAGAACTTCCTCTTGCCTGGGCTACCTGTAGATCCTTTCAGGCGAGGTAGGGGCTTGTCTGACAGTGTGATAGAGGGCCTGGTTTTCATCTTCAAGTTCAGGGTGCGGTTTGGCCCCACTGGGCTTAGTTATAGAGATGCAGTTCAGGGAAACGTCAGTGTGTTTGCATAAGACAGCCTCTGATTACTTAGTTTCTGCTTCAATAACGATTAATTTTATGTGGTTTGAGCTCCCATCAAACTCATTTCTTTTTTCAAACTGATTTCCTAAATGCAATTGGTCACGGGGCTGTCTGTGACTTCATGTCTGCAAAATCTAACCCATTCCATACTTGTCATTGTTTATTTCTCTGAATGTAAACAAGCAGTTTCCTGTGTACATGCACTGTTGTTTTATGGGTCCCCCCCCACCACCCTCGAGCACACAGGAATCCAGTCCCGACCTCCTCCCAAATTGGGAACAGGGGGGCCAATGAGCAGGTGCTTTGGAATACAGCAGGCTCAGGTGCAGGGAGAGGGAACTGCAAATACCTGGAAAGTACTCCCCTAATTCAAACGATTTTACATAGTTGAGGCCTCTCCAAATACCCCATCAATTAAAATGGCAGCTGGCAGGATTTTAAAACTAAAGACCACGAGCAGCTCTTTCCCTATCACTTCACCTCTACAGGATATCTGTCCATCTTTTTCTTATCTCTATTTTTACATTTCATTATCCTCCCACTCTTTCTCTCTCCCTCCTGCTTTCCCTCCCCCTTTTTGCCTTTCTTGAAAACACATTTCTATCTGGCACAGAAAATAAACTCAGATTGTGGGTAGTTATGTTAATCTAATTCAATCCTCAGTGGGTTAAGAGTGAAATTCTAATAGTGGAGCGGTGGAGGGCTTTTTTGTTAATGGCTTGGGGATTACATTGAGTTAAAGGCTCATTTCCTAATCAAACAGAGAGGGAGAGAGTGACTCCGAATATTTATGAGTCTCCCAGTGAGAGTTTAAACATTCAACTCCAAAAGCAGGGTTTCTGCAGTAGGAAAGAGTTAAAACCCCTCAGGGCTGCTGGGAAAAAAAAAAAATTAAACCAGTTAAGCCATCAGCATTTTCAGGCTGCTGTACAACTTCTGTGCTTGCAAAGTGGAAGGCAGCGTGGAGCTGGAGAGAGGGGAATCATTTCACAAAGCAAAAATGGCAACTGTGGTGCATGCTCTGAAGCTGGAGTCAGCTGATATGCTCAGAAAAGAGTGCCCCCCACCCCCCAGCAGACTCGTTCCCTGGTTCACCAAGGGCCTGGAGGGGCTGTGTGCCTTCAACTCCCCTAATCACTTCTCCTGCTCCAGTTCGGAGGTGAGAATACAGAGACAGGAGTATGGCTCAATTTGCCAGCAGCTGGAGAGTTCCAGCTGGAGAGTCTGGTGGGGCCAAAGAAATGGATTCTCTCCCACTTTGGTCCTGCTCCTGGAGTCTCGAGGGCTCAGTCTTCCCCTTTAGCCAGTCAATTAACATCTCCACAGGACCCTCCTCCCCCTTTGATCTGCGTTTGGTCTGGGTCCCTTGGTTCTGCTGCTGGCTTTCTTCATGTGAGGACTTCAAAGTCCACCTGGCTCACTGTTCCCAGGTAAAGGCAGGTGAGGAACTCTCTGGTCTGCAGCCAGAGAAGCAACTTGGCCGAGGTCGAGCAATGTCAAGGCCAAGCTGAGGTCAGAAGTCTAAGTCCAGGCAAGCATTCTGGCCTCGCTCTCCCCTCCTTCTCCGGGGAAAGTCAGAGCCATATGGCTGCTGAAACAGGTCCTGGCTCCCCTGGAGAGAGATTTTCTTCTTCAGCTTGGAAATGGAGGGCAGGAATCCCTGATGCAGGGGGATTCTGCATGCTCTGTGAACACACATCCTTTTTTCTGCCACCAACCAAGTGAGCAGTTTCTATTTCTTTCACTTGGGTCTTTTTTCCCTGCTTCATGAGGTCGGTGGAGGCATCAGGATGCCAACTTTCTTTCTCTAGCATCCCACGGCTTTTTGTTTTTCCTGTACCTGGGCACTGTTCTTTCTTTAGTGCTTCAAGCTCGGTGGCCTGTGAGTCTTGTAGTTCTCCTTTCAAGTTAAAGTGGCATCTGTAACACGTCTACGTCAGCTCTCCTGGGATGCCTTCTCCCTTTTCCTGGGGCCTTCAAGGTCCCTGCCTGGTCTCCCTCCATGACTGCATTCACCCCCTGTGCTGTGCCTGTTAGTTTCTGTGTCTCTCTCATTAGGCCAGGAGCTCCGCCGAGCGGGGTCTATGCTTCATTCCTCTTCATTAGCCTGCCTCATCGTTGATAATTCCTGCCCTCTTGCCCTAACCCCTGTTGTATGGACAGTAGAGACCTGTAGTTAAGCGTGCACCTTCCAAGTCAGACAGCCAAGCTTCGAATCCTGGCACTACACTTTCTCAGCTATGAGACTTGAGCTACTACTAAACCCCTCAAGGTCACACCTTGACCATCGGCAAAATGGGGATAACAATGTAACCAACCTCACAGCATTGTTGGGAAGGTGAAACGCACATGAAGTGCTTAGCCCTTGGCCCAATGGGTGTTGACACTTTTATTTGTTCAGCACAGAGCACTCACTTCTGCATACATCATGTCACACCGTTAAAGGCAGGCTCCCACGCCTTCCTCTAAGGGGACATTTTCCCTGAATGTTGGCCATACAGAGATCTGTGTCAGCAAGACTTGCAGCTTCCTCCTCCAATGGGCTACTCCATGAGGAAGCCCTCTAACCTGAGAAGAACCCAGGACCTTTAAACCACTGTTTCAACCACCATGGGACAGCAGAGGATGTGACCTGGGCTTTGGGCAGCACTCCTTAGTCAGAGGAAAGCGTGACTCTCCCCTCTGTGGAAAGAGAGTTTTGTC